GGAACTTTAAGATTTGTGGTCTTCAGCTCCAAGAATCCCCCAGCCGTCTGGCTGGGGAATTCTGGGAGTTGAAGTCCACAAGTCTTAAAGTTCCCAAGTTTGGACACCCCTGCGCTAAGGCTAAGCAGCATGGGTTGAACACTGCTTCAGGGGTTGGGAAAAGTGAAATAAACACAGAGAGGCGAAAAAGCGACGATACCTGAAGACAGAACCAAAGAGAATCGAGAAAGCCCCAAAGCTTACCTGTGCCAGGTCTTCCCATGATGATCTCCTTCTTGGGAGTAGGATGGCTGGTGTACTCTCCGGGGACAAGGACAGGCAGGAGGGCAGCTGGGGAAGGATGGAAGGCCACAGGCTGAAATGGGGAGGACACGCTGAAGACGGGCGGGGCTTGTTCAGGGACAGATACCACACTCGGCTGGCTGGAAGGCAGAGTTCGGCCCACATTGATGGGCACCGGCATTTGCAACTGCCCTTTGCCCGACAGGTGTTCCTTGGAGCCGGCTTTCCCCATCCTTGGGCTGCCCCCTCGGCTCTCCAGCGGCTTCTCCGTGAACTTGGAAGGCAGCGGGACGTCGGGGTTGCGCACAATCACGGGGGAGTCTCTCTGCACCGCAGGCACCCTCCTCACGGTGGGACTTGGGTCGGAGGTCAGTCCAGCTGGCGGGGGCACCAGCAAGAGCGGGGAGGCCTGCTGGGAGCGCGAGGAAAAGGGCCCAGTGCCCGCAGGCGACACGGCCCGGAAGCCAGCGGGAGTGGAAGGGGTAGGGGTGTGGGAAATGGATTCCACGCCCGAGTCAAGACTGTCGTTCTTGTGGAAGTCAGCCGCCGAGCTGGTGCTGCTGTGGTGCGACTCGGCTTTCCGCTTACTGGGACTCATTGGCACGGTGAAGGTAAGGTTGGTCTGGAAGCTGATGCCCGAATGATGGCGCTCCCGGGAGGTGGCGTGGTGCAACATCTCAGGGCTCAGCACCGCACCCCCGAGTCCCTTTGGGGTGCTGGCACTCACGTGGCGGCTGCGAGCGGCAGCCCGCTGTATTACGGGTGAGGCGTTAATGGGGCTGAAATTGGCTGGACGGAAGCCAAAGAGAGGGGAAGGGGACGGAGAGGGGGCAGGGGAGAATGGGGACTGGTTGGAGACTGGCGAGAAAGATGGGGTGCCCGAACGGGAGCTGCCCAGGGACACCAGCATGACGGCAGCTTCGCACTCGTCAAACTCAAAGCGCGACAAATCGGCAGGAGCCACCAGCCGAGGCCGCGAGTCTCCTCGGGCGCTGCTGGCTTCACTGTCCCGCGACGTCTCGTCCCAGTCAAATTCGGCGCTGCCTTCCCGCAGACCACTAGCTCGGCCTTCCGAGAGGCTTTCCATTTCCTTGGTGCGCATGGAGAGGTGACGTGAGCAGTAACCCCGTCGTTGGGACTCCTTCATGCAGCCGTCTCGCGAGCAGAGTCGCCGCCATTGTTTCCCATTGAACTTCTTGCGGATGCCGTTGGGGGTGCACACCACGTCCCCTTTCTTGTACTTCTGCTGGGCGGCGGTGAGGGGCGTACGGGAGCGAGAGGACCCCGGCGTGCTGCACTTATCCACGGACATCACGCTGCTGCTGCGGCTTCCGCTCGCTTCCGGACTCAGCAAAGGCGATCGCTGCTCAGGAAGGCGAGGGAAGGCTGGCGACTTTGGGGGGGACAGGATCTGGGGTGGCACCACCACGGACTTCTCCTCTGCCCGCACCCCAGCACTGATCTTGGATACTTCTGCATCTTCGGGCTGCTTGGACTCGGGGCACGAGTGGGCCAGAGCAACTTCCTCTGGCTCTGGCAATGGAGGCATTGTTTCGGGTGGCTTGTTGTCTTCAGGATTGTCACAATGCCACGGGGAGCGCAGGAGGCGCAGGGCCGAGCGGGGTACCCAGGCGAAGTCTTTGCGAGCGGCACTGGCAGTTCCCGGGAGAACCACTGGATGGGTGAATCGCACTTTGTAAGAAGCAGGTTTGACACTGACTTCCACCACCGTGCCTTCCTGGTACGCGGTCTCCTCGGGGTCCACACAAGCACAGACTGGGGTGCCCACAGCCAAAGCTCCAGGGGGAGGGGTAGCGTCCAGCACAATATCCACCGTAGCGGATCCCAGAGCCCTTTCATAATACGCCGTGACCCGGTCCCCCACAAACTGCACCCCCAAGTCCTGCCCTCGTCTGACCTGCTTCACAATGGCTGGCTGGAAGAGCCCGTCCCGCTGAGCCAGCACCCGCTGGGAACGCAGCTGGCGCAGGTCGTACACGCTGGAGGGTGTCGGCCACATGTTCCCCAACCCCTTGTCGTTCTCGTCTGCGGAATGTTCGCTGGCTGTGTCCGTGCTGGAAGAAGGGCAGCGCCGAGGCTCATCCACCAAGGTGGCGGCTACGTTCTCGTTGCCGTTCGATTCTTCACCCCCGGGGTACTTCCGGCATGGCGCCCGCGACTTAAAAGTAGCCGTCTTGCGGTTTAAGGAGGCTTCTGTCCCGCAGGCCTCGGGCCCCGCCTGTGTTTCCCCTTCGGGCAGTTTGTAAGGGTCATCGTGAACTCCGGCCAAGTCCCGCAAGCTGGGGTCCATCTGTACTTGCAGGCGCCGGGCACCCACAAATGCTGGGGGTTGATCGGGCGCCTCCTCTTCTGCTGCTTCTTCGAGCGCAGGGCTCTCGTCGATGGCAGTCTTGCGCTTCTGAGTTTTGGCCCGGGTGGAGGGTGGAGAGCGGCTGCAGCTGCTGTTACCGGAAGAGGAGGAAGAGGAGGAACTGGCAGCCTTTCTCACTGGTTTCATCTTCCTCCCAGGCTGGGCATAGATTCAGGGAGCTGAGAGGAAACAGACAAGAAGGAGGTTACCGGGCCATCCTCCCTTCTACCACTCCCCTGTAATCGGATTTCTCCAACCATCAACTTAATCCTCCGAGCTCCAGAAGTCTGAAATTTTGGGTTTAAAAGGGACCGCCTATCACATGTTTTGAAATGTGAACGAAATAACTTTCCTGCTGGAGCCATGAACTACTCATTAATAAACACCTACTTTCTCGGCTGTTGCTCACTTCTGAGGACTCGAGGCCTGTTGGCGTTTTTGTCTGTGCTTCCCTTCCCCATTATTCTCGTCCAATTCCTTATCCTGAACTCTCTAACTCCAAACTGTAAGAAGGCCTCTCAATCCCAGCCTGGGAGCTGGAAATAAATAAGCGGGCAGATTTTTTAACAAGCTTCCCATTATATGTATGTACAAAAAGACATTATGCAAATATATCTATAGGTGGGTAGGCAAAGTGGTTTTTTAAATGTAAACCCCCTCCTAAGGGGGAGGAGGGGTATCTAGGCACTTGGCTGAAACAAAGAATTAATTTAAAATAAATATTGGATTTGTATATATAAATCTTGGAGATCTATATATGCACGCATACAACACACACATACACACACACACACCAGTTATATTTTGTTCAACATCAGGAGTTCCAGCACTTTTAATATTAGATCCCAATTCAGTGTCAATGTGATTCTAGGTGAGATTAGGTTGTTAGGTTCAAAATATCCCAATGATGTGGATTTAGTGTCTATTTAGCTTTTTCTGGGGACAAACCATGACTTATAGCTTAGCATGACATATGCACCCATCCACTGCAGCTTACTGCATCACAAGTAAAGCAAACCATGGCTTGGTTCGATATGAGATATGAAGCCAGTCTTTAACTTGCATTTTGATTCGTGTGTGTGCAGGAACAAATGTGATCCTTAACACTGGTGATTCTGCTGAAGGACATTCCTGGACTTCAGTGAAGTCCGAGAGAGTGAATTGCTTTTTCAAACATTAATTATAATATACCTAAATATTATTAGAGGGTCTGTTTGGTCTAGTGGGTAAGGCACCAGGCTAGGAACTAGGAGAAGGTGAGTTCTAGTCTGACCTTAGGCATGAAAGCTGGCTGGGTGACTTTGGGCTAGTCCCCACTCTCTCAAGCCAACCCACCTCACAGGGTTGTTGTTGTCGTGGGGGAAATAGGAGGAGGAATAGGAGGATGTGTTCGTCGCCTTGATTTGTTCGTCAAGATAATCGAGGTGAGATGCCAATAAACCAACAGCTCAAAACAAGCCATTTTCATCACCCTTTAATAAAGCTCCTTGACTCGAGGCTCTCTCATTCATTCCCCACCAACCTTGGCCCAATTGAGAAGAGTCTAAATTTTATAGGTTTAAGCTCAGGCAGCATCGGAGGAAACTTAACTCAAATTCTGATAGTAAATGATGGCAGGGAAGTGAAAACGGAATTGTTTGGAGGGCTCCCAAAGAGTCCTCCTGAATTCCTATCTCCCTTTGCTGGCCAGAGAGAGGAGGAGGAGGAGGATGCAAAGGAATGCAGAATGGTCGCCACCCATCCGCTAACTTAGTCAAGAAGAGACGGAGGCCAAATTTTTCTGTCTCCCCCTCCCCAACCTACCAAAAGAAAGGGCCAAGGGGGGAGGGGGGAGAGAAAGACACCAGTCTTCCTGGGAAAAGGCAATCTAAGCATCCCCTGTATAAGATCCATAATATAATCCCTTCCTCCTTCCAGGTTGCAAACATCAAACATTTAAGAAGAGGAAGGACCACCGATGTGGGGGCTAAGCTTCCAATCAGTTCACGGTCTCCTTGCCCCCCTCCTCTTCCTTGGGGTACCCAGCCTGAGCCTTGCCTTTCTTTAAAGCCACAGAATTCTGCGTATGCTTAGAGGCATTCTTTCTCCATGACATCACATCTTCTTGGCATCTACTTCAGATTCCTTGCAACTCAGCCCGGGAGGAGGTTTGCAAACAATTCAGCTCCGGCTACGTTCCTCGTCACAGGGCTCCCCCAGCCCCAAATACTATTCTCTACACCCCACCCCCACCCCCGTTGGAAAACCTCTTCGGAAGGGATATTTCCCACAGAGTCCCCCTCTTATCCTTGCTCCCCAAGTTAGCTTGTGCCATCTTTCCTTCTTCCCTTCACCCCCTTCTCTTTGAAAAGCCAACCCTCCATCCCTTCCTCCTCCTCTTCCTCCTTCTCCTGCAGGTGACCTTGCTCACTTCCCCCATCCCCCCCACCCTTAATGCTCCCCAAAATCTGCGATCCTTCTCTTGGATCTTATGGATCTCTCCTCTTCCCCCCACCCTCCCCATTCTGCACTTCGGGAAGACCCTCCCATATTATGCAACAACTCCTGTACTTACCAGCCTCTCCGTCCCACTCCTGCTTACAAGGCAGGCACCGGCCAAGCTTGCCTGTCAATCCCTCTCTCTCTCTCTCTCTCTCTCTATCCCATAATAACTGGTATTGGGTCTCAGCTTGGAACCTTGCCTCCTCGGTGGCATCCCATAATAAACATGCCTGCGCTCGCTCGCTTCCCCCCCCCCCTTCTCTCTCTCTCACGCACACACATACCAACAGACAGCAAGCCAGCCCCTGCATTCTGATTGGGGGGGGAGGCAAAGTTGGGGCGCTCCTGGATTCTCCCCCCCACCCCACTTTTCCCCCTGTCCCAGCTCTGCAGGTTCTCTCTGGGGCGAACCATTCAAACTTGGGGGGTGGGAAAGAAGTGCGGAATGCCCCAGGTTCCAGAGTTGATACCTCCCCAACATAATTGGGAAGGGGGGGCAGATCAATAAAGTTGGATCTTCCTACTTTGAAGGTTCCGGGGTGCAGATGTTTCCTTCTGCAGATCTTCCCCTTCTCCTCCCCCCCCTCCCCGCCTTGGGTGGGGGGGTGCTAAAGTTGGCACCTCCTAGCCCCCCCCCTTACCTGAACGATCCCCCTTTTTCCAGAATGCCTCTCCAGGAAATCTTGGAACAGTTCGATTTCTTTCCCTTTCCCCCCCCTCGATGGTCCAGCCCGAGCCCCTCTCGGCCCCTCCGAGCCCCTTTTACTCCAACAGACAAAATGGTGAATGAATCTGGACCAGCTGGAAGAGCCGTCCAATCAGCGGCCACAACTCCCTGACAGATTTTCGCCGTGGCCAACGGCTCCTCGGGGCAGGCTTCGCTTGCCCCGCCTCCCACAACAGGCAGCAAGCGCCGCCTATCAGCGCGGCAGAGGGAGGGCCGCACCGTTCAAAGGGCTCCTGCCCCTCCCTTGAGAGGAGCACTTACAGTAACCTGTGAAAAGGCGACTTCGGGAAGGAGGGGAAGGCACTTAACATACAGTAGCCAATAGGAATGAAGAAGGTGGAGCCAGAAGGCAAGACTTGTTTACCTGGCGCAAGGCGAACAGGAAGAAGGCACCCTACTCTAAGCCTCATGGGACATGTAGTCCCTCCGAGGGCTCTCCTCTACCCGATTAAGCAGTCCTGCTCTCTCAGAAAAACTTTTAATTCCCAGAAAGTACCGCGAAACAAGGCTGGGCGAAGGGGAAAGTGAGAGTCCTGACTCTGTGGGGCTTGTAATTATCCTTCCCTAGCGGCACTGAGGAAAGAAGAGACACCAAATCCCATGCCGCACCAGGACACAAAATCGCCCCGTCTTCGAAACCCTGGGCGCGCAAAGCCTCATGGCCTTAGTGGTCCCGGACCCCCATCAAGTGTTCAGAGAAGAAACCAGGAAGTTCTCCTAGACGGACGAACAACTCCCAAGGTGCAGCGCGCGCCGCCGCTCTTCCAAAGGCGGCGACGCCGGATTAGTTCAGGCGAGCGAACGCCTCCGGGAGCGGCGCCGAACAACAGGGGAAGTGGAAGAGTGCGAGAGCGAAAAGACTAGCACACCCGTCATGCTTTGAGGAAACGGAGCGCCTGGCGGACGTGCCCAAGACGCCGGCGCGCGGGCTCCATGGGAGTTGTAGTCCGCAGCGGCGACCCTTCCTTCCGATATCCTGGGGAGTCCCCTGTGGAAAAACTACCGCTCCCGTCAGGCTGTGCAGGTTAATTCGACGGCGCCCCCCTCCCCCCTGCAGGACTGCAAAGTACAACTCCTGAGGTGAAGGAAGGTAGACTTCGCTCCCCTCAGGAATCCCCTCACTGGAGGGCTCCTTTGAATCCGATTTGCATGTCATTAGCATATTCATCAACTTACCGGGGGTCCGCTCTGGGCCTGTCTTGTTGTCCCGGCCGGGCCTCTCGCGCTTCCTCTCAGCAACAGAGGAGCCACCGCCGACAACGCCGCGACCAATCAGCGGCCGGACCGGGAATTTCCCCCTTCCCCACGTGGGGATGGGAGGGGCGGGACCGAAAAGCAGCCAATCCTGACCTGGGGCGGCCGAAGAATGAAGTCATCACGGCGCGGTTCTATTGGTCGCCCTCGCGAAGGCTGGCCAACCAATCCGAAGACGCTTGCAACAGGACAAGAACGGGCGAGAATTCGGGAGTTGAGTGTATTTTGGCAACGTGGGAATCCGGCCGATCTTGGGAGTTGGGGAGCGGAGGGTGTTTCTCGCGCACGTGTGCATGCGTTGTATTTCTGCACCTCTTTTATTTTTCTTATTTGCCTAAAAAGTTAACGGGTGCAGTGCTCTTATGTCGGTGTAACATCATGTTCTATGTTGTTGTTAGTTGCGAAGTCGTGTCCGACCCATCGCGACCCCATGGACCACGTTCCTCCAGGCCTTCCTGTCCTCCACCATCCTCTGGAGTCCATTGAAGCTCATGCCGACTGCTTCCCTGACTTCATCCAGCTACCTCCTTCCGTGTCGTTCTCAACCCACAGCCATTCATTTAGCGATAGTTCAAAGGTGCACTGAGTAATGTGATTTATGCCGGTCCTCCCGCTTGTGACCCTCGCGAAATCCCCGTGGTAGCATGATCCAAATTCAGGTGCTTGGCAACTGGCATGTACTTATGACAGTTGCAGAGTCCCAGGATCATGTGGTCACCAGGCCTTCCTGTCCTCTACCAATTTAAGTCAATTAAATCAATCAATTTAAGCTCAGGCCGACTGCTTCGGTGACTCCATCCAGCCACCTCATTCTCTGCCGTCCCCTTCTTCTTTTGCCCTCAATCTTTCCCAGCATGAGGCTCTGGTCTTCTAAAGGATCTGGTCTTCTAAAGAGCAATCAGGGTTGATCTCCTCTAGGACTGACCGGTTGGATCGCCTTGCCGTCCTTCTTCTTTTGCCCTCCATCATTCCCAGCATGAGGCTCTTCTCCAGGGAGTCCTTCTTCCTTCCTTCCTTCTCATTAGGTGGCCAAAGTCTTTGAGTTTCCTCTTCAGGGTCTGGTCTTCTAAAGAGCAGTTAGGGTTGACCTCCTCTAGGACTCACCGGTTGGATCGCCTTGCCGTCCTTCTTCTTTTGCCCTCCATCATTCCCAGCATGAGGCTCTTCTCCAGGGAGTCCTTCTTCCTTCCTCATTAGGCGGCCAAAGTCTTTGAGTTTCCTCTTCAGGATCAGGTCTTCTAAAGAGCAATCAGGGTTGACCTGCTCTAGGACTGACCAGTTGGATCGCCTTGCCGTCCTTCTTCTTTTGCCCTCCATCATTCCCAGCATGAGGCTCTTCTCCAGGGAGTCCTTCTTCCTTCCTTCCTTCTCATTAGGTGGCCAAAGTCTTTTGAGTTTCCTCTTCAGGATCTGACCTTCTAAAGAGC